TTCGAAATACAGCCCGAGTCTGAGATGTAAGCCATTGTCAACAAATACAGCTAGCTATGGGGAGATGACTCATTAGAAAATTGGAATGTGATTATTATCTCATCATAATATATGACATTTGTTTGCGATATAAGATAATCTTGAGTCATTTTTCTTCTTCTCTGAATCCTGCTTACAAGTCGGTGCGGGGCAGGTTCGATGTCTTCCGGGAATGCATTTACTAAGATTTCATGAATACGCAAACGTATAGACGTAATACACAAACAGTATTTACATTAGTCGGAATAGTGTCCTCATCTTTGTCGCCATATTTGTCACAACATTTCGGCCGTTGTACACTCCGGCCTTCTTCAGGTGGTTGGAATTTCTTATTAAACCCCTTATTTCGATCACTGGGGTAGACTGTTCTAGTTCCACGTGCCATGTTTGAAGTATGTCAGTTATCAGTTATCTCCTGCTAATTTTCCCTCTGAAAGTTCTCCACTGCCTTAACCAGGTATTGAACTCGCCTTCTTTGTGTCTGTCACTGGATCTAACCAACGCCTTTATCCTTGAGGACATCTGGGTATGAACTTCTGAGTATTATAAACCTAATGTTTTTCAGCATCATTTTTTACCAGTGCTCATATTGCAATTTTGCTGTTATCATTGCATGTCTTTATATTGCAACTTTGTTATCATTGCTTTTCTCTGGCACTCCTTATTGCTGCTTCCCATATTGTATTTATTTCTATGTTTGGTCGGCTCAGGAGATTTTTGTGGCCTAGCATATGTGCTGATTCCTTAAGTTTACGAATTTTCCAATGGTGTTCCCTGTCTACGATCTCAACATGATCCCACAGGGGGAGGTGATCTCCCTTCTCTCTCCATATGTGGTCAGCCACGCCTGATTTTTTTACTTCCCCTCGCGTTACAGCTTTCTGGTGTTCTTGAAGCCTTACCTTGAGGAGGCGGCCTGTCTCTCCTTTATATTCCTTTCCGCAGCTGCACGGGATAGCGTACACACAGTCTTTAGTCATGTTCCTCTCTGTGGGGGGGTCCCACTCGTGAGAGATATCTGCAAAGTGTTGTCACGCTTTTGAAGGTTGTCCTGATGTTATATGGACCGCAGATCCTTTGTATTTTCTCTGATAACCCCTTCACATAAGGCAGGCAGACTGTTTTCTGAGTGTTGTTGTCCTCCTCCTCCTCTTGTACCCGCCTATCCCAGTTTTTGGGGGATGCTGCCATGTACCCAGGATAGTTGTTACGTTGTAGGGTACTAATTATACTGACCAATTCCTTATCTAACGTCTCTGGATCGCCACTTATGACTTTTGCTCGGTGTTGTAAGCATAGGACGATCCCTTTCTTTACGCTGTATGGATGGTGGGAGTCGAAATTGAGGTACTGTCCGGTGAATGTTGGTTTACGGTATACAGATGTCTTGAACCCATGCTCTATTCGAGATATTAGTACATCCAGGAATGGGAGTGAGTTGTTACTCTCTTTCTCCATTGTGAACTGTATCGAAGGTCTTATTTTCACATGGTCCAGTAGAACCTGGACATCTTCCTGATGTGGTCAGAGTATGAAGGTGTCATCTACGTACCTTAGCCATATAGTTGGCTTTAGCGATATAGATTCTAATGCTATTTCTTCAAAGTATTCCATGTATATATTCGCCATTGCTGGTGATAATGGCGAGCCCATTTCTAAGCCCTCATCCTGTCGATATATGTGTGATCCCATTCCGAAGTGTGTTGTTTGTGCACAGAAAGTCAACATCTCCATCAGATTATCTATTGGAATACTGGTCCACTCCTCTAGGGAAGAGTCAGAGGTCAATCTGTCTCTGACTACTGAGAGTGCCTCCTTCGTGGGTACCTTGGTGAACAGACTCATCACGTCCAATCTCACCATCTGGTTGGATAGGATCGGAGCATCTTTGATTAGATCCAGTGACAGACCCAAAGAAGGTGAGTTCAATACCTGGTTAAGGCGGTGGAGAACTTTCAGAGGGAAAATTAGCAGGAGATAACTGATAACTGATATCCATCAAACATGGCACGTGGAACTAGAACAGTCTACCCCAGTGATCGAAATAAAGGGTTCAGTTCGAAATTCCAAACACCTGAAGAAGGCCGGAGTGTACAACGGCCGAAACGTTGTGACAAATATGGCGACAAAGATGAGGACAATAGTCCGACTAATGTAAATATTGTACATAATACCTCATCTCAGAAATATAGACAGACTCGTAATACACAAAGTTTAATAAGGAAAAATGTGTCGTCTGTTTCAAATACAACGTATGTAATATAATAAATTTTGAAGTAATACAAATGTTGAATCAAAAATAAGTCCACTAATTATTTAAGAATTGTTTTGTTTAAGCTTTGTATAGAAAACTGAACAGATATGAATCTTTTGAGAAAAACACACACGCGCATATACACACAGAATACGGCGAGAATCTACATTGTTTATATATATATATATATATATATATATATATATATATATATATATATATATATATATAGAGAGAGAGAGAGAGAGAGAGTTTTCTCTTCGCAAACGTGGCCCGCTGGTATAGTGTCCGCGTTGTATCTTAACGATTTTCAGTGTCGGTAGAGGATGCGCACTGCTGATGTGTCCCAATGGTTTTCTGTATGTGTGGGTGTGTTGTGAATTCTTGGTCTAGACATGATGAATTATTATGAATATATATATATATATATATATATATATATATATATATATATATATATATATATATATATACGAGGCCTGATTAAAATGTGCAGGGTCTGTTGCTATGGTAAGGAAACTATTAAGTGGAGTGAAGCCACTTGGCCCAGATTGACCATGAACTCTTTTTGTGAATGGTTTTTGCTAAATACATTCCTCGCCCAATTCCAACAATCACCATATTCTTCAGATTTGCGACTTTTTCCTCTTTCCTAAAATTAAATCCATCTTGAATGAAATAATATTTCAGGATGTCTAGGAAATTCAAGTGAATGCGACGAGGTAGCTTCTCGCTATCCCAAAAAGGTGTTCCAGAAATTATTCCATCAATGAAAACGACGCTGGATAAAGTGTGTGGCTTATTTGATGTGGACTACTTCGAAGGAGATTAAATGTCAAATTGGTATGTGTTGTAGTTTTGTTTTTCTTTCGTTTACCGAGCTACAAATTGAATCTAACGTATTAATACTCTGTATGTGACAAATGTTAATACTCTCATTTCTTTTCCAGGCCTATCTACATTAAATTGATAGATCCCAATCTGACATGATCATAAACAAATCCAAGCCATGAATCGACTTGAAAGTGACTAGATTAATCGTAGGAAAGACAGATAATTCAAAGCGGACGGCACAGAGGTACCCACTTTAATACACATTAAATTCATGTTGACTTCAGAAACAATGCTGCCATCTATACTGAAGATCTAGGAAAGTTGATCAAACTCTTGATCGAGAGAGTGATCATATCTGCTTTATCAAGATTCTGTGTGCTCCTTCTCAGATGGTACACGTTATCCAGGAGAGCCTAACCCGGAATTTTATACGCCATGTCAACTTCAAACATGTGATCTCTGTTATGCTGACACGAATCCACTTGGGTTACTTTGAGACGGAAACCACCAAAGGATCCATTGAAAGCTGCCATCTCTGAAAGAAACTACTTGATCAGGTGATGCAGCACGTCACACACTTAGCTAAGGGTAGTCAGATTGATTATTCTTTCCTCTGCTTTTTTTAGTTGAACATACACATGCACGTCCACACGGACGCACACACACATATATGTATGTGTATGTGTAGTGGGAGAGAGAAAAAGATAGATCTGTATATATGATTATATTTTATAATTGTACTCATTTATGTAAAGATCAAATTTATATGATATGAAGTTTACTTAATGCAAATGTAAACATTGATATTCATATATACTATATCATTATCCCACCTACACACCTATTTATCTATAATTTTTATTTTGTACGTCATGTTCTTGTGGGATACATGACTTCTTGGGAAGTATACTACAGAAGCTTCCTGTTGCTATTTTCGCAGGTTTGAAAACAGAATGATACTTTTCGGCCGGTTGCCATCCAAGGCTAAAGAGCATAGTTTACCCTAATCTTTTAATACATATCTGGAGAGATACAAAACGATACAGACGGCATTGATTTATGTCTGGTGAGAAATTTGAACACAAATTGTCTATTTCCCTGTACATGCTGATAAACCTTTCACTAACTGCTGATCCGTGTAGCTGTATTCTCATTCATATACAAACATATTTATATGGAAGTATAACGCAAGTAATGAATATTTTAAAACCGAAATGCGTCACCCATGTAAATGGAAGCTTTGGAAATATATAAACTTTTATAAATTCTCGTATTGAATCTTCACTGCGGTGCTATTGTATGTGAAACTATTTAAATAAATACCGATACACACGTTCATATTTAAGAATCTTTACATGCATGTATACCTCAACGGAGAAAGGAATATTGGCATTTTCAAAAAAAAATTACTTATATAATTTTGATGTTTACATTTACCTTCAATTTACAGAAGTGTTGGCATTTTCATATAAAATTAACAATTACGGAAAAGATAAATATTTTCAAAAGTTCATTGTACAATAAAGTGCAAACAAATGTCACAGTGGAAAAAGTATTCAGGCCATTTAAAAATATCATAAACATGTTATTTATGAAATAATGTAGTTTGAGGTCTTTCTGTACGTGGAATTTGTTAGAAATGTCTGAATTGTGTATAGGGAAGATACAAAGATTGCAAACGAGGCTGGCAGCTAAAAGTACAAGAATACACAACACCAACAAAGAATGAGGCAATTATAAATTATAATGAAGTTTGGAACCTTCTGCAAATCTTTCGTATGCAACACCGAAAGGCTAAGTCAAAGCGAATATATCGGTAACGTGAAAGAAGATCTAAAATGAATTTACCTCACCTGCAACTTAGTTGGGTGTATGGCCATATTATGGTGAACACCAGTTTTCATAAGATCACCGAAGTTAAGCAACGCCGAGCCAGCATGTCAGTACGAAGATGGGTGACTGCTTGGGAATAGCCGATGTTGTAAACTTGGATGTGTGGGTGATATAATGGATAAAGGCTCGGAACTTGAAATCGTAGTGACGTGTTTCATTTTAAGTGGTATTCATTATATTCACTTAGACACAAATATCCTTGGAAACGGTACGAATCCATTTCCTTTTCTTCCAGCTATGGGTTAATTAGTGGGACTTGTATGAGTAACTCATTAATATTCCTAGCAATTTTTAGAATCTAAAAATATTTTCTGTCTTTAAATAACATGTAAAAGTTTAATAAAGTTTGAAAAGACAAATCAATGGAACTTAGTTGGCCTTGCTCAAAGAAATATGTGTAATGAAATGCACAGGAATTGTATGGTGAGAAGATTCTGATATAATAAAAAATCCTACCGGGATTTATTACTGGTGATCACAATCTTAAGAGTGAAGATAGAAGACAAAAAAAAAAAACAAAAAAAAGACACACACACACACACACACAGAAAGGAAAACTACAAGAACTCATATCAGAAAGTAGAAAAGGAAAATGAGAAAAAAAGACTAAACATCAACTGTGAGAATACAGTGTATGGTTGTCAGCAGAAGGAACATCCAAGATGCCAACTTTGATTTGGAGAAACCAAAATTAAACAAGTGCGAAAGTTTGAGTATCGGATTTTAACAGATAACGGAAAACGTGACATCGAAATCCGAAGAAACATTGAAATAACTCAAGATGCCGCCCACAAGAAGCAAATTATTAAGAAACCGGAAAACGTACCTTGAAATAAAGAGGGGAATAGTAAACTGTTATGAAATATCGTTCCTCCTATATGGCACTGGATACTGGAAAATCTCCTCACAGATGGAGAAAAAACTTGAGAAGAAACAGAAGGATGCTAAGTTTCCCATTGACTGAACATATGAATAACGACGAAATATATATATATATATATATATATATATATATATATATATATATATATATATATAAATAAATAAATATAGTTTATGAAAATTATTTTAAGATATTTTTTATGTAAATACGAGGAAAAAATCTAGAAATATCAAAGTAAATCCTCTGAAAATAATTTAAATAAAAACAGTATTACCGACATTTATCTGCTTGAATGTCCGAGAAATTTTCAAAGAAAATACGAGTCCTCCGACAGAACGAACCTGGATCCTATATGAATCCCTCCAATAGCTTTTGAAGTAACTTTTACTGATTGACCCACAGTGGGCTGTTGAAATTTAGCAATATATATTTTATATTTTTAAATATAATTATATATAATTTTATTTATATAAACAAAATGGACACTTATATTAAGAAGTAGAAAGAGTATTGAAATTTCTATGACACATAATGGAAAAATGATTGATTGGCGAATTTAACATTAAGGGGTCATATCGAAGGCAAGCAAGATAGAAAAGCAAAGAGTAACGTAATTGATGTGTAAATGTTTTGTAGAACAGGGCAGGAGGTTGTGGAGAGCTATGAATGCGAAGAAGAAGAAGAAGAAGAAGAAGAAGAAGAAGAAGAAGAACACCCTGAAAAAGAAACCGATTTTTCGATTGAAGTGGGTCTTGGGATCATTTTGAAGACCTCTAAGCTTCGAACCGTCTTTGATGTGACGAAATAAATATTCAAGACTCTAAATCCAAAATCGGTCACCAAAAAAATGCAAATATGACCAAAGAAAAGAAATATTATTCTTCGATGCAACGAGAGCATCAGTTTCAAGAAAAAACAAGGTTCGTCTTACGTACAGAATGATGGACAGTAGCTTAATTAGTATTAAACTTGAATCAACTTGAAAATTCATGTCGGGGATCGAAAATAAAATCCATCTGATGGATACCAGTCTTAGCAATTTTTAAACTTTCAAACGATATTTAGGAACTGTGTTTGATATTGAATTTCAAGAAAAAAGGGAAAAAATATACAGAACCGAAAAAAAATACAATTTTAAGTAGTGAAAACAAAGTTTTTGTTTATTGTTTAAAAAAGGATGAAAGTAAACTAACGAGAAAAGCGTCTTTATTCAAATTAAATCTTTTGAATCCACTAAAATAAAATTAAATGTTAGATTCCAGTTTGGTTAAAATTAAAGTATTATTTATTCAAAAGAATAAATCCATCTGATGGACAAAATTTTTTGAACGTTTTAATAAAATCTGCTTTTGAAGCCCGTTAATAATTTAAATGTTTGTGGGAAACGATTATTCAATTTTGTTTAATATAACTTTGAATCAATGCCTGTGTTTTAATTTTGTTCAATGGATCGAGCCCTTGCCAGAATTTTTCTTATAATTTAAACCCACTAAAACTTTGAAATGGTTATAGTCTTGTTCCTGTTATAGAATATTGTAATAAAAAAACAAAAAATCACAAATTTTGACCTGGAGTCTTTTAAAACAATAGTTTTTCATTGCCTTTTTATGAAAAGTTAATTGAAGTGAACTTTCCAGACTTCCGGAATTTAGGAGATTAATTAACGCAAGATATGGAGCCCCTTAATTTATTCAAAGATAACTCATTAAATAAAATAATATAAAGTAAAATAGAATACACGAAAGTGTATCTAATTATAGTCCTAGTTAGGAAATTAATTATTAAGTTTATTAATTATGGGATCAGATTTATCTGTTGTAGATGTATTACTATGAGTGGGTTATTGGATCATTATTGAGTTATTAATGAGTTATTTGAATTCAGTTTCGTTTTAAATAAATGTTTGGAAAGAGAAGTAATTGAGATAGGTAAAGTGTTCCACAGCTTAGCTTCTAGATAGCGAACCGATCTAAAACTATATTGTCAATTATTATTACGCATTAAAAACAAGCCTCCACGAGTAGATAACCTTGTTAAGATATTGATGAACAGATAGACTGAGAGAAAAAGTAGTCGTGAAAACAAGAGGTGAGATTTTGTTAATAGACTCATACAAAAAAGTTAGTAATTTTAATTTAAATATTTCTGAAAGTCTCGATATTTTTGTATTTTGGGAGATGGATAGTGAGTTTAAGAAAACAGGCTGACAAGAAATAGCCCTAAACATTCTCTCCTGCAGCCTAGAAATAGGATCAATGTAGGAGGAAAAAGTTTGACTCGACAATATTATTCCGTATTGCAAAAAGGAGGCGAATCAGTCAGTTATGTGCGATGCGTGATACACGCTTAGGCGATCACGAATCTTTCAATACATGACTGACGAATTATTTTTCCGCAGTAGTTTGCCATTTCTTCCTGCAGTGGACCAGTTATTATCCAAGGCTATAGAACTTGGTCTGTCCTGATACTTACTGATAGCTAGTGGGGGGGAGAAGAAGATTATTCATACCTTTCCCAGGTGGTGTTAGTGAATGTAATGGATTATGGATTCGACCGGAATTCGAACTCGGCTCTCCGATTCCTCAATCCGAGCCGCTAGCCATTAATCCACCGTGAATTACAAAGGCATTCAAGGGACACTATAAGGATGCATGTTTTATATTAATGTTTTCATCCAATAGTACACCTAAAAATCTAATAAATTTAATCCTCTCTATGCATCCTTTACCAATCCTAATCTTACCATCAAAGGAATGAAGAATGATAGATAATATAATTTCTTATTGATATTGAGTGATAATTTATTACCATCAAACCACTTTTTAACAGGTTTGAGTTCAGTGTTAACAGTCTTTAATAATGTTTTCATAGATTTTGATTCTAAATGTTAGTATCATCAGCAAATATGTAAAATGTTCACCTTTTTGATACAATATCTAATTTTTTAATGAAGATGAGAAGAAAAAAGACAAGGACTGAACTTGCAGTACACATGCACAATCGTAGGAGAATGCAATTGTAAGGAGAATTATTCTCTGTCAAATAAGTATGATTTAAACCAGTTAAGAACATTTTCTCTAATGCCATAATGATAAAGGTTTTAGGACAATAGGTTGACCGTTTAAATGCTTTTGAAGGTCAATAAAGATGCATCCAGTTTTTCCTCGATCCAATGCGGATCTTATAGCTTCAGTCATGATTATCAAAGAATGACCAATATAGTGTTTGACTTGAAATCTAAATTGCAAAGAATAAATAAATGTGTCGTGGTTAAGGAAAGAATAGAGATGTTTGTACATTAGTTTTTCAAATATTTTACTAAATACTGGTAGAAGAGAAATCTTTCTAATAGTAAATGCCTTTTAAAAATTTTTTTAAAAATGGTATAACTTTAGTAAGGAGAAGGACTGATTTATAAGTTGAGCAAAAGGTTGAAAATAAAAGATCCAAGAATTTTCAATAATTTAACCAGTTTACTATTGGGGCCAACCGATTTAGAATGATTAATATTTGACATATTATCTGTAACTTCCAAATAGCTGTTCATCAATATCTAATTAGGCTATCGTAACAGGTGCAAGAAATAAAGATTTTGCATTTTTATTATAGAGGTAATGAAGAGGAAATTTATGATTTTGGGAGTATTCTTTCATATATTTTCTGCGACACTAACAAACTAGTCATTCAAGACATTAGACATCTCAACTGGGTCAGATGTAATTACTAATTACTTTCTATTACTGTTTTTAATATTATTGATAGTCTGGGGACTTAATTAATTTAATGTTTGATAAGAAATAAGGACTATTTTATGAAGAAACCATATTTTTCTTTAAAATATTTGATATTAACAAGAGAAATAATCAAACATACTTGTGAAAGAAAACATTCGATTTAAGAATTAATCAAGAGTTTCTAAATTTTTTTTGTAAATTTAGGAGTTAGTTTCAGAATTATTTATTCTAAGTTCACTAGATAAATGTTCATGATGTTTCATTCTCATGATTTTTCTTATTCTATTACTGTTGAAAAATGGTTTATTCAAAATTTATTTTATTGAAGGTGTAAATTTCCCAATCTGGGTTCATGGATGTCAGAAGGTTGGTGTGGTAATATCACTTGGAGTTCCAACTAATTATTAACATTTGAGTTTGAGGTTATCTAGATTGTGATGAGAAAATTTGATAAAAATCATCTATAGGCTCCGAT